TTAAACCATGCTGTGATTTCACATGCTCTCCTTAGCATGTTGCAAAATAAGGCAAGTGTACTGACATGTGCTTTCCAGGCCATGGTGAAGGAAGGACGTTATGGGAGACCAACAGCAGCTCTGACAAGGTTCAGAAAGCCTGATTTCTGCCTGTGGCAGGAGCTGATGACAGAATTATATAGATTATGTCCCATATTCAAGGAAGCTACACGTCAGGCAGAGGCTCACAGTGGGAGGAAAGGTGTAGGGTTTAGTTTGGGGTTTGTTTTCTTCCCAGCCAAGTTCACAGATGATAAAACTCCTACCCGTGATGACCGTAGACCTCTCAGAAGTATGAATAACAGCAACAACAACACCGGAAGCCACAGTCACAGAGACACGCAAGCCCGTCAGAACCACACCGTCCTCATTCGGGATGTATGCGGGGCCACCCCGTCTGGAGGCCCCTTTGGTGATATGTTCAAGAATTTAAAAAATGTGTGTCTGCTTTGACCCAGCAATTCCATCTCTAGGAACTGGTCCTAAGGAAATAAAAAGTCAGCCAAAAAAAAAAAAAAATGAGTGTGAGAATGTTTATCATAGCCAATGAACACATCCAGGGCTTTTGGGGCCTGGTGTTTATATAATTTAGGAGGTCTCCTTTAACACAAAGAATGCAGAATAAGAGTATAAAACTGTTAGATCCTTCTCAGGCCTTTGGAAATGCCCTGTGCAAATGAGAAGGCTTCTATCAGCTTCACATAAGTTCCTCATACAACATGATATGTATAGAGAGTCAATTTGTTGACACGGAAAGATGATCAAAACACGAGAGTCTTAGATTCTGAGTTGCTGGGACAGCTCCCTGGCACGGGGCACTTAAGGAAGGAAAGATTTGTTCCTATTCAGTTTAAGGCACAGTCTATCATGGTACCTCTCTTTTCCTCATGGTAGTGTCTAAACAGGAAGCTCTCAGCTGCTGCTTTAGCACCACGCCTGCCTGCCTGCTGCTATGCTCCCCAAAGTGAGGTCATGGATTCTGACCCTCCCAAACAGTAAGCCCTGAATTAGACACTTTCTTTTATAAGTTGCTTTGATCGTGCTGTTTTATCACAGCAATAGAAAAGTAAATTAAACATGGTGTGAACAAAGATGGTAGTTTTGATACTAGTTATGAGTTGCAGAATAGTAAATGGGGCTTTCTGTATTTGGTATGATTTGAAGTGTCCCCCACAGGCTCATGTTTTGAACACTGGGTCTCTAGTTGGCTGCACTGTTTTGAGAGACTCTGGCAGCTTTGGGAGGTAGGGACCTGCTGGAGGTCGCTGGGAACTGGTCCTTGGGAATATATTATCTAGGCCCATTTCTAGTTTCACTCTCTGCTTTCTGGTGATGGAAGCAGCCTCCACCATATACTCACTACCAGGAGTTGATTTCCTTGCCTTTCCTGCCACGATGGGCTGAAACCATGACCAAAACAAGCCCCTTCTCCCCATAAGCTGCTGCTGTCAGGCATTCCATCACAACTTTGCAAAGGGAACTTAGATTTCATCTTGGAGTCATGGCTGTGCAGAGCCTCAAAAGCAATCCCACAGTCCAGCAGGACACAGCAGCCTGGGACACCCTCGTGACATCACCCACCTCCAGCCCCAGGCAGGCCCTGGCCAGAGAGGAAGCCAAGCAAGTGTCAGGCTTTCTGGAAGAGAGTCATATCTGGGCCACAGTTCATCTGTCAGAACCCAGAGGATTCAGAGCTCAACCTGCCTCCTCCATGGGAAAGTCTACAGACAAAAGGCAGGCTTTGGCAAGTGTGGCCTCTTCACCGTTAGACCTTGGCAGCTAGGGTGTTATCCGTGTGTGACCATACAGGCCAGCTGAAGATTCCTGCCCCTCCAGAGAGGGTCGCCCTATAAAGGGGTCCTTGCCAGGAGGGGAGGGCAGGTACAAGTGTCAGCCAGGTGCTGTGTGACACAGGCCAGGGGACCAACTATAGCAGATCCAAAACCGAAGATGTCTGTTTCTCAAGAGCAGACCAGAGTTGGGGGCGTATGTCATCCAGAGAGGTCTCACTGCAGTTCGTAGGCAACCCAACTCTGTGTGACTTTGATCTGTCCTTTCCTCCCCAGATCCCTACCCAACCCTGAGACCAATGCAAGGATGCAGGGCAGATAAGGGAGAGACCGCAGGGCCAGCCCTGTCCTCCCCATGCCTCAGTGATGGCCTGGCTAAGAGCCACAACAGGACAAAACCCCAGAAAGAGTGATAAGTGCGGGTTCATTTGTTCGGCTGAGGAATGACTGCAGAGGGTAAACTCGACTCTTAATACTGCTTCAGTTCTGGCACAGCTGTTTGTTCCGGTGTCTGTGACCTGGACTCCTGGGTGCTGGGGTTACAGGCACGCACTGCCCCACCTGGTGTGTTCTTTATTCACAATCGTTTAAGAGGTGTTTGTGTATTTTCTAGATCATAGTTCTTTGTTAAATAAGTCTCTTGTAAACATTTTTTTCTAGAAATTTGGTTTGGGTTGTCCTGGAATTTTTTTCAACCTTTTATTTATTTATTTTACTTATATATAGTTTTAGAACATAAGTGATTATCTTGATTAGACATACATGTGGCTCTTATAAGCCAGTTTTTATAAATGTTGTCACAAGTAGATCAGTGTTGCCTTAGGAATTTCAGTATACTTGAGTCATCAAACATAGTTCTCCCTTGACTTTTGAAAGAATTTCAAGCTTGTGGAGGAAATGCAAGAATAACACAACAAACCCTCATGCCGCTTCCTCTGTGGCCACCAGTTCTTATTTTTTCACTGACAGTCTCTCTATATACACATTTTTTTTTTCCCTTTGAACCATTTGAAAATAAGTGGCATAAATAATGTCCCTAAAAATTTTAGCATGTATTTCCTAAGGGAAAAAAGAAAAAGATGTTCTTTTATATACTAGAGAAACTTAACATTGATGTAATATAAGTACCTAAATGTGCTGGTTTGAATAAAAATGGCCCCCACAGGCCCGTATGTTTGAATGCTTGGTCCCCAATTAGTGTAACTGTTTGAAAAAAAAACTAGGAGGTGTAGCCTTGTCGGAGGAGATGTGTGGTTCTCTTCCTGCCTGGATGGGGATGGCTATCTCCCACCGGCCCACGAAGCCAGAGGGAGCAAGGCCTGAAAGGCTGCTGAGCACTGTATGGAGATCAAGCACTCCAGAAACCACTTCAGGGAGCTGGTTCAACTTTAATTCTAGAGAACAATGGCTATATACCCCCTGGGGAGTGGGTAGGGGCTCCCAGGATAGGTATTCAAAATTGGTTAAGACTGGGCACTTTAAGGATGCTTGAGTTGCATTCAACAACAGCACCAGTCTATCCTATGAATGGAAACGTAGTACCTACGGATCATGTAGGCGAGGGAAGGGGAGAGCTAGCAGGGAGCTGTGTCAACGGCCATATACCAAATGTGGTTAGGGGCATCCAAGTCTAAAGACACTTTACATGAAGCCAGGCAGAGAGCAGGAGGCCCAGCTGAGGACAGGGAGTCCGCACCTTTACGTGGGCTCAGAATAGCCATCCGGACTGTGGGGACTGCAACGGCAAACAGCAGCGTCCTTCCAACAGAGATGTCTTTTCCATATAGTTTTAAAGCCCTACACCAGGCCCAGTCTCTCTCTCTTTGCATATTGCCTGCGTATCCAGATACAAAGCTCCCAGCTGTTGCTCCGGCACCATGCCTTTCTGCTTCCTGTTGTGGTGATCTCAGACTCACCCTCTGAATCTGTAAGCAAGCCCCCAGTTAAGGGCTTTGTCTTAGGAGAGAGGCCTTGGTCGTTGTGTCTCTTTACACAGCAGAACAGTAACTAAGACACTAAACCTCAAGAAAGAGCTGAATTTCACTAAATGCCCAGTCCCCTCCCTTCTAGTATCCTTCTCATCCCTGGCTAAGCCCAAGGTCTCCTTTAACACAGGACAGTCTTCCAACCTTTCAGCGTCATTTATGACATTGAGCCTCGGTGGGGGTGGGTCAGTTATCTTGTAGACAAGCCTTTAATTTGGTCTTGTCTGGGTCTTCTCTGTCCATTCTGCCTTTTTTAGGTTGGAAACTACTTTTTAAAAGAAAAAACAAATTGTCCTTCTTACCCCAACGCTCCCACGAATACCCTGACCTCCAGAACACACAGGAATTCCTTTTTCCAGCAGCCAGTCCTTCCTCCAGTAGACACCAGCTGCTGGATTTAATGCCATGCTGAGATCTGCCCAGAAAGAGCACCAGATCTCACAGGTGGCATGCTCAGCCCCCGTGACGGCCCCTCCATCACCCGTGCTCTGGCAGACCCCTCCTCAGGCAGGCTCACAGTCCAGAAAAGCTACCAGAACCTGGAAACAGTTACTGGTTTCTTGTAAAGACTATTTCAAAGATTCATAGAGAAGATGTGTCATGGGGGATAGAGCCTCCTTACCCTCTCCAGTCACACAACCCTCGTAGAGTCCCCTCCAGTCTCTTGTCCAGAATCTCTCTGATCTGATCTGATCTGATCTGATCTGAGCCAGTCCCTCCTGGCTCGTTATGGAATCTTGGGTATTTGATGATGTCGTTGGTCACTGGAAATCAATTTAACCTTTGGTGCCTGTTCTATCCTGGATGTCAAGGGGTGGGGCTAAAGTCCAGTGACTTTCCAATGATTGGCTGAGGGCTACTAGAAGCCTCGGCCACCATATTTTTGACAGCCAAAGGACAATGTTATTACACCAAGAAGCTTCAGACCCTTCCCATATTCCTAATTGTCTGAGAAAGCGTCAGATTGATTTCCAAAGTGGTTGTACAAGTTTCCATTCTCACCAGCAATGGAGGAGGGTTCCCCTTTCTCCACATCCTCTCCAGCATGTGTTGTCACTCGAATTCTTGATCTTAGCCATTCCAAAAAGATCCAGTCTCACCACACCGTCCCATACTTTTGTCCAGTTCACCTCTATGATACACAAGTGTTCATAAACACTTGATGTTTTAAAAAGGGGGAAATTACCTTCTGCCACAAATTGAATCGTGCCCAGGGAGGTTGTTTGATGGCTTTGCTCTGTCAACAAGAGTGCCAGCTGACCTCTATGTGGTTGCAGACATCATGGACTATCTCCTCAGCATCTTCAGTAAGAAGGTGAACCCTGCAGATGGGAAGGAAGGGCCTCAAATCAGCGGTCAGAACTGAGGTGTCAGTACGTGCCTGTAACCCCAGCGCTTGAGAGATGAAGGAAGAAGAGTAAAGCCGGCTTTGGCTCCTTAGCCAGTGTGAGCCAGCCTGTATGGGCTATGAGAAATCCCGTCTCAAACAGACAAACCAAGTGAGTCTGGAGAGCTAGATCAGAGGCTAAGGGCTAGTACTCTTCTTGTGGAGGACTGGAATCCAGTTCCCAGAACCCACATCTGCTGGCTCACAGCCATCTGTAGCTCCAGTTCCAGGGGGCACCCAACGCCTCCGGCCTCCGCAAGACCTGCATATCCCACACACATGGTTAAAAATAACAAAAATAAATAAACAAAACAAAAACCTAGATGGTTCAGTGAGCAAAGACGCTCACCACCAAGTGTGTCGAGCTGAGCTCAGTGCCAGGGTTCCACACGTGGAAGCAGAGAACCAACTCCTACAAGTTATCCTCTGACCTTCACATGAGTGCTCTGGCTCACAGGCCCACATACACACAGCAAATAAATAAATAACAAACAAATAAATGTGATAACATTTTTAATTAAAAGTAAAACAACTATAAACCAACCAGTAATCAAACTGCCCTTTTGGAAAAAGGCAGGGTCTCCAGTACCCCAAGCTGGCCTTGAACTTGCTGTGTGCCTGAAGTTGCCGTGGAATTTCTGACCCTGCTTCCTAGATCTAGGTTGTGCCCTGGATTGCACTCAGGTCCCAGTCCTGCCCATCCTCACCGTGGTCCACCTGTTTTATGTTCGGGAATCCTCTTCCCACAGTCCCGCCACGATCCCCCAATCCACAGCTCCCACTGCCACACGACTGAACAACTGAATGCACCCTCAAGTACCCCAGTGGTAGGCCTAAGCATTTCCCGGCCTTCTTGCCACTACAGAACTACACCCTGGCAGCCTGGGGGCTGCTCATACCAGGCTTCTCCATGCTGCCTGTCTCAGCCTGCCTGGCCATCCACCAGCAGCATGGACACTGCCTGTGTCTGGAGGGCTTTAGCCCCTCCTTCCTGAGCGCCAACTATGGGCAGCCTCTCCCCTGAGACCAAAGACACACCCTCACAGTGGCCTAGGCTTCACCTCCAGGCTCTCTGTTACATCAAGGGGATGCTTCAATATAGAAACAAAGTTACAAAGGCCGGATGCAAATGAGGAGAAAGTGTTATATTTGCAACAGAAAAAGAAACTGTCTTTCCTCTTTTCAGACGGTGTGCTAGCAAATGTAACAAAATAACAGAGACTGATCATTCAAGATCAAGGCACTGGCCAGGGTTAAAATCCTCTGAGCAGTAGAAAGGATCCATTCCGGAGCTGTCTTCCAGTTTCGGATAGTCTAACTTGTGGTGAGATTACACTAATCTACACATGGCCTTCGGATACACGTGTGTTCTGCTCACATTTTTTTTTTAAACATACCAGTTGCTATATTGAAAACTACTCTACTTCAACATGACTTCAGCTTGGCCAGTCCCCATCTGCAATGACCTTGTTTGTGGAGTTAGGCCTGTGCCAAATGCAGTTGAGGGCAGGAGCAGAGACTCACTGTCTAGCATTCAGGCTCAGACCCAGAGGACAGGCAGGAGGGTGACCTTTGTAGGGCAGTCCAGGCTGAGCTGCTGCTGTTCTGGCCAAGCCAGGACCAGGTGAAAGCTGCACGACAGGCAGGTGTCCAGGGCTACTGGGTCACACAGGTGACACAGGGCTGGGCTCAGAGGAGTGGGATCGGCCTGGCTGAGGTGGGAAATGAGGAAGAGTCCAGGGAATCCGCTTCACTCTGGACGAAAGGAACTGAGTAGGCCTACAAGATGCCTTTAGGGCTCAGCTACCCTGCCTTCCTTGTGTGGTAGGTGGATCCTGAGGGGAGAGAGCTAAGGAAGGCACACTCACCTGTGAGGAGGCCTCAGTGGCTATGAGTACAGGACAAACAGACTTCCCAGGAGGCAGGCTTTAGTTAGACAGTTTAGTTACATGAAGGGAACAAAGACTAGTTAAATCTTTGGGGAGTGGGGTAGAGGCTTTTGGGGTAAGTGTGCATTATTAGCCAGGGTCAAGATGCTGGGAACACCTTATTTGCATAAAGAGGAATTCCATGTGCTTGCTGGACATGACCCTAAAGAGAGGAAGTTTAACCTGTAACCTGGCTGCTAGGCTGCACAACTACCTCAAGGGTGGCAGGGGTAGGGATCATAAGGCTGCCTGCCCCAGGACATGCAAGCCCAGGGCAGGGAGCGAGCAGGCCTACTCCTGCCTGTCTCAAGGAGAGATTTTTGAGGTCTGGATATGCCTTGACTTCACTCTTGCTCTAGGCAGGCTGGCCAGCAGGCCTCGGGATCAGCCTGTCTCTGCCTCCCCAGCCCTGAGGCCAGAAGCACATGCCATCACACCTGGATTTTTGACATAGGGTTTTTTATGTGGATTCTGGATACCAAACCCAGGCCCTCGTGTTTGCAAGCACTTTACCAATGGAGCCATCTCTCTAGGCTACATTCATAATCCTTTCTACGGTAGAGATCATCATCCCTTTGTCCTAGTTGGGGACACAGTGGTTCCAGGGTGAGGTGGGCTGCTCCATGTCCCACTGCTGGTAGCATGTAGAGTAAGGTTTGAAGTCTAACAAGCCCGTGTGTATCCCATTCTGAGCATAGCCTCTTCCTCAGCACCCCACATTTGTGCTCAGCTGAGCTCCCAACCCCCTGGACCACTCATGGAGGACGCTTCTGCACAGCCTCCTCCACTGGCATTGCATCTAAGCTGCAGCTGGAGTGAACAATCGGTACCAGCCCAGGCTCAGCTGGCAAAGGGTACCCTCACCCTGTGCTGAAGGTTTCCAAGGCTGCTTTGGACTCTTCGGAATCATGGGAGTGAGGCTACTGGATTGTGGGGATGAGGAATCATGGCTAGGCAACACAGCCCAGACTTCTGTAGGCCTTCCTCCAAAAAGGGCTGGACTCAGCAGGCCAGTTCCCAGCTTCCATCGTGTAGTGATGATTCTGGAAGGTATTCTGGGGCTCTCTCAGGGTGATGGAGGAGTGTGGTGCCCTCTCCTGACTTTCTTACCCCTTCCTCTTGACAACTAGTCGCACCATGCTCTTGTTTCATACTTTGCTTTTTCTGGAGGTGGATGGGGACATTGTTTGTTGAGACAGGATCCAATACAGCCCAGGTGTCCTTGAATTTGCTAAGTAGCCAGGGATGGCCTTGAACTACTGACCCTCCTGCGTCCACCTTCCCAATGCTGAGAATACAGGCATGAGTCACCACATCCATTTATGAGGCGGTGGAGAGTTCCAGCCTTCCTGTATTTAGACAAACAGCACTGAGCCACACTAGACCCACATTCTGTTCTTGCGGGAAGACAGACTGTAATGGTCCTGGACTTGTGCCCCTCTTCCTGGCCTGTTCCTGCTGCTGAACCAAGAGGGATTCCCAGGGGACTGCCAGAAGCTCTAAGGCCCAGCAGGGGGTGGACAGACAAACCTGAGGCCCCCAGCAGGAATGTTACGATTCTCTCAGGTGCCCAGGCCCAGAGAAACAAGCCTGTCCTAAGAGAAGAGGGGCAAACCTGAGGACCCAGCAGGAATGCTACAATTCTCCCAGGCACCCAGGCCCAGAGAAACAAGCCTGTCCTAGGAGAAGAGGGTGTGAGAGGGCCTGGCACCAGCCTCTGAGAGCTTCCTTATTGTCCCTACAGCAGCATAGGCCCCAAAACAATCCCAGAGGTTCTAGGGGAAGCAGGTCTCGCCAAGTCACTCCCCTGCCTCAGGCATGTGGCCAGGTGTTGCTAGGGACAGCAAACCACCAGGAAGGGAGATGGGACAGTTTTGGCTCTGAGCATGAGTCCTGCCTGGAGTGAAAGAAGTCCTGCACAGCATGAGCACACGGAGGAGCCTGAATGAGGGTCCCGCTGACTAAGCCCTCTCAGCTAAAGCCCAGAGGACTCTCCTGCGGGGCAGCACTCGCCCCCCGTGGAACGGGAACAAGAAGGCCCATGTGCCTAACACATGGCGGACCTCATCACTTCCCCCCTGTTACGCCCCATGCTCCCATCCAGTTTATTCCCTGCAGAGCACCCACCCCACAGACTCACCAACACCCGCCAGCAGCTCCAGTCCTGGAGGATTGGCGTTAGATGCTGCTCTTGAAAGCATGCTGGAGCTGAAGAGATGGCTAAGACGGTACAGGCCTTGCCACAGAGCTTAGTGATCTGAGTCTGAGGGGAGGCCGCCCTGCATGTCTCTGTCCCCGCAGCCACCCCACACCGGTCCTCGGTGTGGGAGAAATGTCAGCGGAATGTTGTGGGAATACACATTATCTGGGTGGACCTTCCGGGTACCACGATGAGCCCAACACTCACGTGTGTGAGCAGGACAGAAGGATGACTAACTTCAGAGCCATGTCTGAGTGGGGGGCTCGCTGTACCCCTGGGGACCAGGGCCTTTCTTCCCCTTAGGCAAGAAATCAAGACCTTGGCAGCAGCTATAGCCTGCTGGCACCAGGTCCCGAAAGGGTCATTGTTTGGCAAAAACAGGAAGCCGCCCGAGGGGAAGTGTGACCTCGCCTGGGCGAACCCCTGAAGAACGGCCCCGAAAATGTGGAGGACGTGCAAGCAGGCACTGACAAGCCGCAGCTGTGCCTCCGCTGCACTCCAGGTTAGGACTGGACCCGGCTCAACCCTGGAAGCCTGGGGGGCTGCGAACCTGGGGCTGTGCTCTAGTCCCATGTGACCTTGGGCAGGTCACCAACCCTTTTGGGACACATCTCCCCTTAGGTTGCCAAGTGTATGCAAAGCCTGCCTGTTGCCCATAGCTTTCCAGCAATGAGTGTTTTCGGCGGAAGGGCAGCCTGGTGGGTCCACAGCGCTTCACAGTTAGCAAAGCACCACTTCATTTCATCCAGCGATGAAGCCAAGAGGCGCTGGGGACCGGGACCCTAATCCTCTCTGCCCGGGGAACACAGACGCTCAGAGCCAGGGTTCGAGCCCACGCCCTCAACCTTGGGTGTAGGCCAAGCTCTGACGCAGCTTGCAGCTTCGGTAATGAGCATGCGCCCTTGGGCCGGACCAGCGAGCCCAGGGCAGACGGGCTGAGCCTGAGGTCCCACTCAGGAGCATGCGGTGCAGCTTGCAGCCCGCTGGGTTTGCTGTAGAGTTACTCCCGGAGGTTCAGCCCCTTCCCCTTCCCCTCCTCACCCTTCCCTCTGTCCCTCCGGGGACCTGGGTGCCGGACTGCCTAGTTCAGTCAGTGCTGAGGCTGAGCGACCCGCAAGCCCATCTTACCGCCTCAGAGAAGCCCAGCTCTGTTCGGGGGGGTCCCACCACCCCCAGCCATCACACTAGATCCGGCTGCTTTTAGCCGGTCAGTACAGGGCCTTCCTGGAGCGGCTGTCATCAGACGGAAACAGGACCCAAGCTGCCCCATTCGGAGTAAAGAAAAGGAGTACCAACCCAGGCCAGGGGTCCCGTCCTCACTGGCTCTCTTTGGCCAGATAACCACAGGCCAGCACGGGGCCCTCACGGCCGCTGGCAGCCATCCTCCTCAAAGGCCGAGGGGCGGGCCAGCCACACTGGAAACTATCTGAGGCCAGAAAAGACAAGAGCAGCCTGTGCCATTGATGGCAGCTGTGTAACGCTGAGGTGGGGCGGGTCACGTGGCCCAGCCCCGCAGCCAGGTGACATCCATTTAGCTCAGGAGAGGCATGACTTGCTTTCAAGAGCACAGTCACGGCGCTTCATCGTCTCGCACCCTCTCTGCGCAGAGGGGAAACGGCCCTGCCTCCCCCACTCTGGCTCCGTAAGGGCAATGGCACCCAGCCAGAGCCCACAACTTGTTCACAGCTTTTTGGAAGCTCCGCATTCTTCCTCTCTGTTCTGTCAGCTGAGACAGTTCCTCTCTCCTGCATCTGGTCTCTGGCCTAGGCCGGGGCCACCCTGCTGCTATTAGCATGATGGAGGGACAGAGCTGGAACCCTGACCCGACCTGTCCAGCTTCCCCTCCCCTGGCATCCCATTCCTCAACCTCAGGCTCCTCCCTTCTCTTCCCTGAATGCCTGGCAGCCTGTGGAGCACAGAATTTTGAGGGCATAAAGGTCTTCAGAGATAAGCCAATGTAGCCGTCTTGGGGTAGAATAGTGGAAACAGAGGCTTGGATGTAGTCAAGAGATCTTCCCCAGGTCACATTCAGGAGAGACTGGAATCCAGGTATCCCCGGTTCTGGGCCAGGCTTTGTCTGTAAACTTAGCCATAACGGTTTCCATTCTGTGTCCCCGTTATCACTCATCTCCATCTTCTTCTTCTTCTTCTTCTTCTTCTTCTTCTTCTTCTTCTTCTTC